GGGACAGTGGTTTGGACATGTCCAGAGGAGGGACAGTGGGTATATTGGTAGAAGGATGTTAAAAATGCAGCTGCAGGAAAAAGACAAAGAGGAGACATCTGGATGTGGTTAGAGAGGACATGGAGGTGGTTGGAGTGAGGACAGAGGACACAGAGGACAGAGTGAGATGGAGGAGGACTTGCTGTGGAGACTCTGAAGAGGGAACAGTTGAAAGAAGATCTGAACATTTTCTACATGTAAATAATTGAGGCAATAAACATTTTTTATGTTCAGATCCCACAGAAATCTCCAACACATTTGATTTTATGAAAGATGACAGAAGACTAAACGTTTGGTAACTGCTGCTTTAATGTTCAGTGTGTGTGTGTGTGTGTTTGTGTGTGTGTGAGAGATATGAGGAAAATTTGATGATCATCATTTGAGAAATTCAAAAAATTTATTTATTTTGGTCATCCCAAAAATCTAAAAATAATAATTGTGACATAATTATGATTCAATTTTTTTTTTGAATATTGACGTCCCGACGTGTAACCATCTGGAAAATGTGTCACGTGGCAACAGAAACATGTGTGTGTGTTTAATTTACTATGTAAGAAGTTCTTTGGAGACACGTCGGTCAACGTTCAGTCAAGCTGAAGTGGACGTTCAGTGAAAATATAAAGTTGTGTCAAATGTTCAAGTTTTAGTTACAAAACGCAGATCAAAGGGAACGAAAGAACACGTGCGGTTACTTTCCAGTGCAGGTTAACTCATGTGTGCAGTTTTCATTGTGCTTGTTTGTTTGTTGTTGTCGTTGTTTTGTTGAGTCTAAACAGGTTTAACGCTTCACTCACGTATGGCGGCAGTAAATTCAGTAGCTTCAGTTTATTCAGACAGCACCATTTCACAACAAAAGTCATCTCAGGTCACTACACACAGAAGTAGAGAGGTCCAGTTCCAACGCAGACGTGATCTGGTTCCACCCAGCGCTGCTCATGAAGGACCAACAGTTCTGGTAAAGCACAGATCTACAACTCCAGGGTTCTGTTGCTGCTACATGAACACACGTCTGCTGCTTCTCTTCACAGATATGTTGAACAAACTAAAACCCCCGACCCCTCAGACTTTCTTCATTTTCTTATAGTGAAGCTGTGACAAACGTTGGGGGGGGGGGGGGGGGGTCGTTGGCTTTGCTTTACCTTCAGCACCAAGACATGGACTCTGCATGTGCGATGCCAGTTGGTGCAGACAACAAACAGAAACAGCACACGTCACATGTTCACACACTTTGTTCATACGTTGAGTTTCTGACATGGATACAGCAAAACACATCACAGGATACAAACTACTGTCAATACAGAAGATGCTGACAAATTGCACAGTTCTTTTTTATGTATTTTATAAATATTAATATGTGAAGGGCCAACCTAAACGTTCAGTGTTCAACAGACTGGTTTTCCTCATTGGTAGGGATCCATTATCACAAGGAAGGAAATTAAAGTCAGGACATTTAACTTTTGTGATTGGCAACTTGTGTAAGGTCAAAGCAGGTGGGGAAGCAGGGCGCGCTCAATCATGGCCACGTGCAGTGTGTTCATCTGTCACTCAGACCAATCAGCTTTATTCTGTCACACTCTCACACACACACAATATATATATATATGTGTGTGTATATATATATATATATATACACATACACATGTATATATACAAACACACATATCTTGTACATATATACATGTGTCACTGCAGAAGCAAGTCAGCCATACTGTAAACTGGAGCAGATGTTAAACATGTCTACTTCATCTTGATATGCATATTATATTCAGAGACAAGCCGAGACCTGAGAAAATTATTGCAACTGGCAAATGTAAGACAGAGACAGAGCAGAGCATCTCACCCGGTCAGTTCACATCAACTGTTCAACTTCAGCTTCACTCATTCACTGATGCATCAAACGTGTGATTTCTCAGGTCAGATGAAGAAAACAAAGAAAGCCGACGGTTCACGTTAGTGCCGACACCGTCCATCACTATACGCAGCCTTTTATTGTCAGACAGAACCGGTTCTTCTGCTAGACCGAATTCAATAATGATTTGATCATTTTGACAGTTTTAAATTAATGTAAATTCAAAAGGGAAGTTTTAAACTTCAAGTGAACGACTCGATGGCTTGTCTACGTGGAGGTTCTGCTTCCTCAGTATCCTTCAAGGGAGACGTCACCTTCAACGAGATTTTTAAAATGTGCACATTAGAAGAGATGCTCAGCACACCAGTCGTTTGATGACCCCCCCACCCTCCATAGCCCTTAATGCCCCTGCCCCCATGTTTCTCACATAAGCCCAACTATCTTTAAAGTCAATGGTCCCAGTTGTCAGTTTTCATTTCCCTTTGTTGTAAACACCCCCCACCCCCATACTTTTGGTTTTTCTTTAATCACTTTTCTTGCTGACAGCTGTTCCAGGTGATTTGGACTTTCCAATGTAGGCTTCAAAGAAGAACTGGACAAAAAGCACAAAATAGCTGAGGTACATGAGGGAGGACCACACGATGTTCTGCATGTGGGATGGACACTCCTGGCCCTGCTGCATCCACGAGTACACCAGGTAGTTGACCACACAGCCCATCAGCATCTGGGTGATCTGGGTCAGCGTGATGAACATGGCGAACTTGCGCGACACTTTGAAGCCGGCCGCCCGCAGAGCGTAGTACGAGTACATGACTGCGTGGACCAAGTAGTTCATGGTCATGAACCAGCCGCCGCCAGCCACCATGTCCTTGTAGGAGTACCAGGAGTAGAGCAGCACGGTGATGTGGTGGTACCAGTGGAGGAAGATGAGCTTCTGTTTCCTCAGGACGATGAAAAGAGTGTCGCCTGCAGGAGAGACAACAAACAAACCTTTTATATTTTTAATAATCCCCGTAAGAACAAACCATGTAGGCCAATCCTCAATCAAACAAATAATTTAAGACCAAGGCTAAAATTAAGACGAACACTTGATCTCAACATCCTGTTTACACGAGAACGCCGAGAAACATCGGTGATATTTTCAATCTTTACCGGGACAAATAAACAAAAACAAAGTGTCAGTTTACATGGAAACACTGTAGTGTCTATGCCAGGCAGGTTGCCAGATAAAAAAAGGTGAAATGTTGTACGCTAGTGAAGATTCTCAGTCATCAAGGACATGAACTGTCGTATCTTGTCATGTGAGCTGAGCGAGGGTGCTGGAAGATGAGATGTGTGAACATGTGCGCAGAAAAGGTTTATCTGGCAACCCTGATGCAGGCATCACATGCAGTGTCTGCAGGATTTCAGCTACATCCAAACAGGTGAATACAGGAACGTCCCTTTGGACCTAGGATGTTGTTGGTTTGTTCATGTTCATAACTGTTGTTGGAGCAGAAGAACTTGGGACTGGAGTCAGCTGTAGTGCGCATGAATGACATCACACCTGCAGAGTATTTCACACCTCCCTGGGGGTTTCCCCTGAAAACCTCCAGTTCAGAAACCTTTGGTTAGAGAGAGAACGAGAGCGGCCGGACCGCAGCAGAAAAGCTGTCGGGTAAACATGAAGTGTTCCTTATTAAAACTAGAAGAGATTAATGTTTGAAGTTCATGCAGATCCACATCAGGATGTTTGGAATTGAAGCATCACTGAGAGCTTTTGTTCAGGCCTGTGTGTCAAATTTAACGTTAGGTTCTTTGGAAATTAGTTTTCTTGTCTTCTTGCTCTACACAGGAGACATTTGGCCCAAACGTTTGCTCGTCACAATATTCTACCCAGACAAAGACAACATGAGACATGTCTTCACTTACCCAGCTCAGGTGCTTTACTCAGAACAAAAGCGTAAGCCCAGAACTTGCTGACGGGCCCGTTGTAGAAGCCTTGGTCACAGACGGACTGTTTCAGCCCTTTGCTCATCAGGACGAACGTCATGTAGCTCCCGGTTCGGATGGCACCAAATATACTACAGCAACACGAACAATGAAGACACGTTAAAATATTTTAAAGCATCGACCCAGTCAAATACTCCGTACACAATAAAAGGTTGTTTTAAAAATGTGATATTTGTGTTTTTACCTGAATACAGCGAGCGTGAGGGACCAGAGCACCAGTGGTTTCCTCAACTCGAACTTCTCCCTTTGTTTCATGACATGGCGGCCCCCCAAGATGCAGGCAGCGTAGAGAGCAGAGTACAGAAAGGACTTCTTCCTGCAAACACAAACGGATAACGAGTCACGTTTTCTGGGCTCCTCTTTGTCTCCACGTCCTGAGGAGCTTCGTGTTCGACACGGCCATGGTACGGGCTCAAACAGTGTCAGATCTAAGAAATGTGACAACGGCAGCTGAAAAATGTCAAGCAGCTATTTATCTGGACTGCATCACACCGAAAGTTATTTAAAGTTCTGCTCCTAAACATGATGCCAACATGCTGATTGTGAGGCACAAACAACACGAGCGCTGTTCTCATATCAGTGCCTGGAGTCAAACTGTCCAAACGTCACCAAATGCTGAGATTTGACTTTGTGATTACGTCTGTCAGAAAACACTGCTGCGCTACATGAAGGGCTTCTGCTGAACCGGGTGCACAGAATCTGAACAACAATTCCAGGTACTCAGCAGAACAGAAAGCACAGGTGGCCGGACTCGACAGACGGGATGCTGATGGAGCGGAGCAAACAAAAGACTGAAGCATGCCGCCAAAACCCGTCAGCTTCGTCCACAAGACGGTGCTTCCTGTTGGAGGAAAAGGGCCAAATTAACTTGGATTACGCTGCAGATTACAGTTGGTTTGTGGCCCCTTTTATTGCTGCATAATCTGCAAATATGACACAAAGACGAAGTTTTGTTGAGTTAGAGGAGAAATATGCAACGCTGCCAGTTTAGAGCGAAGCTGTTCGGCCTCCTCATTCCTATTCCCACACGTCTTCGCTCGTGCTGCGTTCACTGAACCTCAGAACACTTGTGCTTTTTGTTTCATGCTCCTGTAAAGTATCATTTAAATGTGATCAAATAACAGGCTACGGTAGTTACACCAGAAACTGGAGCAGAGGTTTAAAAATATCACCAATTCAAGATATTCTGAAGAACGAGTGCATTTTTGTCAATCAATAGTTCTCAAGCAAAACATGGCCACGCACGAGCATTTTATACAAACAGCACTGCGTGCACGTGGCATAAAAGGACAAAGTAAATGTAAATGGTGTTGCCAGAACACGTTTGATGTGAACCATGAAACGTCCTGAAACATCAGAGTCCGTGCAGAAGAAGCTGCTCCTGAACGTCGTCGTGTTTCCAGAGCTCCTGTCTGAACTGTGGAGGAGCAGAGGGCGAGTGACAGCGGAGCATCCTGCTGAGGATTTATCCACATTAAGAAAAAGATCACAGTTTAAAAAACTTATCTTTGTGCGTTTTACCAAGAACAAAATATGTTGCATGAAGGTGTCCCCCCCCCCCCCCCCCCCCCCAGAACAATGAACAGAACAGTCTGGTCAAAGTCAAAAGAAGTTGCTTCCACAGAACAACAGGACTGCAGAATGACATCACTGCTCAAGCACTCCGTGGGGGGGGGGGGGGGGGGGGGGCTACATTCTGTAGCTGGAGGGAAACAGAGGAGGGACAATTCCAGTACTCCACCTCAGCACCGGGTCATCCAAGGGCAAAGGTCAATAGTTAGTCCACAGTACTGCAGTATACAGAGTACCTTCTAGATATAGTATAATGGTGTACACATGAACATGTGCACCCAGAAAATATACAAGTTTTATTTCTGTGCCTAAAAGTGCAGCTAGAAGAGAAGCCAACAAACACAGACTGAGGTCCTTCATTTATTTTATTGTTTTATCTTTAATGACTCTGGGCTCCAGGAAACAGAGCGGCAGATAATTAAAAAAACATCTAGAGCTCAGAAGAGTTGTGTTTTTTAAATAAAATAATATGCTTTGTAATAGTTTCTTTGTGAATTGATCATTTTACAAAGTTAAATTATTAATTTGTTCTTAATAATTGAACCTCAAAAGGTTGGGGCAGCACGGTGGCTCAGCTGGTGGTGCTGCCGCCTCTAAGTGAGAAGGTCGCTGGACCAAATCCTGGTCCGGGGGTCTTTCTGTGTGGAGTTTGCATGTTCTCTCCGTGCTGCGTGGGTTTTCTCCAGGTGCTCCAGTTTCCTCCCACAGATTAAAAACATGCATGTTAGACTGATGGTAACTCTAAATTGTCCCCAAGTGTCCCTGTCATGGACTGGAGACCTGTCCAGGGTGTCCCCCGTCTCTCCCACAGTGATGGCTGGACATGGGCACCAGTGACCCCCATGACCCGAAAAGGAAGATCCATTATCTCTTCCTCTTCTTCCTCTTCAGGTCAGTGGGGTCACTGGTGCCATGTCTGATAGAGGAATACACTCCCACAGATGTTGATGGACCACACTCACACACCGCAGGTGGAGATTTGTCTCCGGTACAATTTCACTCACAGATACCGGAACAATTCATTAAATGTACACGCATGAAGCCCGGACACATGATCTGCAACATGCTGCGTTGTCTGCTCTCTGTGTGAATCCCTATCAGCTTGACAAGGTTCCAGTGGGTGTCCTCGAAGACGGCTGTAGTCTCGCATGGCACCCCTGGCCTTCACAGACACAGTCCACGGCACCTCCTCAGGATAAGACAATAAACTGTGTTTTATAATAAATCCATAACTCCATAAACTCTGAGCAAAATACTCCGACAAAGTCCAGCAGTCACTGTGTGAGAGGCGGGGACACCTGGACAGGTCTCCAGTCCATCACAGGGACACCTGGACAG